CTCCCAAAGCAAGAGCGGCATCCACTTCCAAAAAAAGCTTGTCTCTAGAAACTATGAACTTGGAGAAAAGATGAAAGTTTTGTGTTCAAGACTAGGGTCACTATGGGTCATCTACAACTCGACAGCACTTAACAACATCATTTCCTCAACGGGTACCCATTTTGTATATTTCATTAATTCCTTGGTTTTCAACGCTGCATAGTATTCCATTGTGTGAATATACCACAGCTTCTCTAGCCATTCGTTAGTTGATGGGCACTTGGGTTGTTTCCATCTCTTTACTATTGTGAACAGTGCAGCAATAAACATGGGTGTGCAGAGGTGTTGGAATTTTCTTCAAATTTTAGATAAGAACTCCTTATCAGATATGTCACTGTCAAGTATTTTTTTTTCCCAGTCTGTAGGCTTTTTACTATTTTGAAAAAAAATTGTCCATGTATATAAGGATTTAAATTGACCCTCTAGAGGCTTCTCTGAGACTGTAATGGAAGGAGATTGCTCATCTTCCAGAGAGCAGCTGGTGGATTTGAACTGCATGAATTTGGGTTGGCAGCACACCTTTTTAACACTGACGCCTCTGGTTGGTTTTGAATAATGTGATGTGCATCTGTCTGGTTGATTATCTGTTGTTCTCTGTATGAAGAACTCTTTTTAGTATTTTTTGTAATGTTGGTATTGATTTCACGAACTCCCTTAATTTTTGCTTTTCTGAGAATGTCCTCATTTTACTTTTGTATTAGATGAACAGTTTTGCTGAGTATAGGATTCTTGATTGCCAGTTGTTTCTTTTAGAGTTGTAGACCCTTCCTGTCTAAACAGTTTCCCCAAGAGACTTGGAATGTAGTCTTACTGGCTCTCCTTTGCAGGTAACTCTCACTTTTCTTGAGCTGCTTTCAGCATTCTTTGTCTTTGGTTTTTGAAAAAAGGATTATGATATACCTTGTGTGTATGGGGTTTTGGGGTTTTTTTGAGGTGTGAATGTTTGGGATTTGTTTAGCCTCTTGAATGTATGTTGTCTCCATTTTCATAATATTTGCAATATTTTTTTTCTAGTATGTTTTCAACAGTTGTCTATGTTCCCTCCCCCCCCTTCTTTTTCTCTTTTGTGTGTTTCTCCCCTTGATGTTCCACATCCTCCTCATGCTGTCTTCATTTTCCTTCTTCTGTTTTCTGGTTTTTCCTCTAGCAGATTAATACTGAGAACTTTTTCTTATATCTCACTGATTCTGTGTTCTGTTTCTTCAGTTGTACTTTTTTGTCCTTCTAGTGCATTCAACACTTGCTGAAATTTTGGTCTTAATACTCTAAATTCCAATTTTCTGGTTTTCTATGACTTCTCATTTTTCATTGATTTTTATCTGTTTGGCCTTGTATGGATGTTTGGGGGTGTTTTTACTTCCTTTAGAGTCTTGTCTACATTTTGTGTTTTGTTTCCTCCAGTTTCCTCTCCAACTTCCTCACAAATGTGGATACACTTAGCTGTTGTTCCTCTGAGTTCCTTATCAGGAGGTTCTAAGAGCATTTCTTCTCCTGAAAGACTTACTGATTCTGTATGTTGATCGTTTTGTTTTGGTGGTTGGTTTTTGTTTTTTTTTTTTTACCTCTTTTTCTGCTTCTTTGGTGAACTTGAAGTTGTCTGTTGTGGTGGTGTTGTGTTTATGGCCTTTGACCCCCTGTCTTTGGTGGGTGGGGTGGCTGATGAGAATGCCCGTGTAGTTCTCTGTTGAGCGTGGAGAGTGGCTGCTGGTGGTCAGTCAGGTAGGTGGAGCAGGAGCTGGCCTTTACTCTTGCACAGTGGATGGACCTGCAGGAGGTGTGCGTGTGGCTGGGCTTTGCGTTACTCTTGCTGTCTGCTGCCTAGTGAGACCAGGGCTGGGAAAAGAAGGAGGAAGAGAAGACAAACAATACATGCCAACTAAAAAGCAAATGAAAAACTACAAACAATAGTGGCCAGTAAAAGTATTACTCAGACTGAAAATAAAAGGAAGGATCATAGCCAAGAAAAAGGATGAGAGGAGAATGAGGGGAATGTGCAGGCCAGGAAAAGGTGATTGGAGGAGCAGTGCTGGCAAATGCTCGTGTGGGTGATGTGGTGGGTGGAGGTTAGCTGTCTGGTCTTTGAATGTGTTCGCTGGGATAACAGAAGATTGAGGATGGCGTCCCCAGTCAGGACAGAGATTCTACTTGCCCTGGAGGTGGCTTAGCTTACCAGATGGTCCCCACATACAGTGTTGCTAAGGCTTCTCTGGTTTAGGGGCTGCCAGTGGATGGAACCCAAGGCCTTGAATGGATTTTCGGTGTCAGTTCAGCATTGTATTCTTTCCCAGTTCACAGACAGAATGTACGGCCAGAGGTCTGACTACCTCCTTATGCCACGTTAGGAAACCAGCTTTCCATCAGGGAATGGCAGTTTGTTTCTGTGAAGGGTCATTTAGTAAATAAGAAGGCTTTTCTGTGTGTGCCTGAGCAGTGTATGTTTCCGTCCTCATAGGATCCTCATCTGGGGGTCTGTCAGGTCAAATCTGTAAATGATGTGTCTGCGTGAGCTGAACTCACGGATCTCTGCCTTCCGGGTCCTTTCCAAACTGTGCTGCGGCCTCCTGTGAGGATGTTCTGTTCTTCTCTCCCACTCTCTCTTTCCTTCATGTTACTTTTTGTCTGTTTTCTGATTACTAGTAAAAAAACTATACTGGACTTATTTCAGTTAATATATGATAATGAATCTATCCTTTTACTTAAGTTTTTCTTATCCAAATTTAAATGTTTCTTGTTAAAAATACGTTAGTTTTTCATTTATCCATGGACGCTTTTTTTTTATTTCCTAGCACCATGTTTAGACCATTTCTTTTCTCTGTTTACCGATTTCTTTTAGTGAATTATTTCCCTGATATTAAGGCCACTATAAACTTGAGCAAAAGAGTTGATCCTGTTCTTTTCCATACCTCTTTTTATACCTTCTGAAAGTGTCTTAACTTCAATTGGAAGTAATCCTGGTGTTAAAACAATCAAGTGCTTGCTGCTAAACCAGCAGTTCAGATTTACCAGGAGATCCTCAAGGGAAAAGATATTTCAGTCTGTTCCCGTAAAGATTGTTGTTGTTGTTGTTGTTATGTGCCGTCAAGTCGCTTGCCACTCATGGCAACCTTATGTACAACAGCCCTAAACTCTGCTCTGTCCTGTGCCAATCGCACTGTCTCTGACACACCCATCCGATTACCCCAGTCACTGAATCAATCCACCTCATAGGGGGCCTTCCCCTCCTGCGCTGTCCCTCCACCCTCCCAAGCATGATGTCCCTCTCCAAGGACCTGTCCCTCCTTACAACATGTCCAAAGTATGTCAGACTAAGCCTCAGAATCCTTGCCTCCAAGGAGCAGCCCTGTTTAACCCTTTCCAGGATGAATCTGTTTGTTTTCCTAGCAGTCCATGGTACTCCCGTAAAGATTACAATCTAGAAAATTCTCTAGGTCAGTTCGACTCTGTCCTGTGTGTTCACTATAAATCAGTGTGAACTCAACAGCATACAACAACAGCAGCAGCAGTTTAAGCGTGTCCTCCAAAACCACTTTCAGGATTAGCCTGTCCTATGACAAACCTTCTGTGGTCTTACAAGTCCTAAGACTTCAAGTTTTAGTAAACTTACTAAAAGTTGTTTTTTTTTTTTTAAATAATTTTAATGAGCATTTACAGAGATTTTGGATTTCCACTCATTCATTGCTGCATAAACTTACTAAAAGTTTTATAAATAAAACTAGGAATAACTTTGTTGGCAGGATTTAAAAAGTACAGATTTTTAGAATGTGTTTGATTTGGGGGGGTCCACCCCCCAATATATCAAAATCATTACTTTGCCTTTGTGGGTGATATATTCTTGAACTCTCAGACCTTTTTCTGTCTTTGATAACCTCAAGTTATGTGTATTTTATTCTAATGTGTTAAGGTGGTTTTCATAACCTTTCTTGATCAGCACTATGAAACCTTCAGTATAAAGCCATTCATATATAATAATATGACATGTTTTTTACATTTCTTTTATTCTGTGATTTCCTTCCCTCTGCATCTCTTGCTTTTCTCTTCACTGAGAGTCTACTGTGAAGACAGGGCATGCCTGCCACCTTCCATTTGCCTTTTCTCTCTCTTGGTGCCTCCCTGCCCCCACCACAGGCTGCTCCTCTTTCTGGTCCTCCCCCTCTGATGGTCTTCAGCAGCATCCATCCTCCTAATTATCTCATTCCCTCCTCTTCAACTGCTAGTGTCTTCACTTAGTTCTTTCCTGTTTTCTAGTCTTGTTCCAAGCCTGTCAGTCACTCATTTGACATTTTTGGGCTGTCTCCTCCATAGCCTCTGCTTCAGAAAGTAGATTTTACCTGGTGATTGTTCTCCTCGGAGGCAGTGGTGTTTCTCAGGGACCTGCTCTTTTGGCCTGTGTAGTGGAGCCTGGTCTTGGCAGTGCCTGTGGCAGGACAGGGCAGACTTGGTGCCAGTGCACAGTGGGTGTGGAGAGGGCTGGGCACGAGCCAAAGGCAGAGAATCCTAGGACTGTGGAACTGCTTCCTCACTTCTGGGCTTAACTTCAGTTCCCCAGAGAGCAGATGCACAAGGGAGCAGCCCCTGGTAAGGTATCCTGTCTTCTATCCTTCAGTCAGTCCTTCTTTCTATCTTGGAAAGCCAGCAGATATGGCAGTGGACATGTGCACGGAGAAAGTGAATAGCAGCTGAGCCTGAAGACTCAGGGGTTGAAGAACTTCCTCGTTTTCTGTGTTAATCATCCTCTCCTCACCATACTGCCCCACAGATAGGCCCTGCACCAGACCATCTCCTCAGTGTACTTCTCCCGCATTCATCTGCTGTGTCGTTCATGGACATTCCCCAGAAGCACCACCCTTGCTTGTCTCTGCTCTCCCAGTTTTCTGATGAGTTCATTCAAATGAGCAGACACAAGCCCCCGACAGTCTCTCTTCTCTGTCTCTTACACTCACCTGTCACTTCTACATCCACAGGGTCTCCGGAAGAGAGAGCTGCTGAAGGAGCTGCTTCCGGTCATTGGGCAGAACCTCCGCTTCCAGAGACTTTTCACCGAGTGTCAAGAACAACTCGACATCCTGAGGGACAAGTAGCTTGCCTTGGCCTGCCCCAGCTGCAGCAAAGGAACGGCCACGATGTGGCCACTGACCACACCCAGGGCCACATTCCACCTGGCGGGATTACAGGAGGAGGAGGAATCACGGGCATGAGGTGTGGTGTCCGGCATCAGCACTGGCCCAGAATCCTGGGCATAGTTCCCCTGCATCCTGAGTATGCCCCTTCACAAGGGGCCAGCTCTGCCTACCACTCAGCCCTCACTTCAGGACCCTCATGCAGGGCTGGGGCTAGAATCTGGCCCTGCTACCTTTGGGTCAGAGTGGCTTTCCTGAGCCTGCCGTCTGCAGCGTGACCCCAAGGTGAACACTTATCCCTGCTGTGGCAGGTGCTGTGCTGCTTCAGCATGAATGAGCCATTTGTGGAGGAGACGGTCCTGAACATTAATGTATAACACAGTCCGTAGACTGAACTGAGACCTATGAACGGAAAAGCTGTTCCAACACATGGACTATTTTTGTACTAGAATTTGCTAACTTGTAATATCTCATTTTCCTTTTGGCTGATAATCAGGATTTCCCTATAAGTCACTTGGACAGTGTTCACTTGTAGGAAATTGAAACTCTAATTATGACAGCTACATTGAAAAATAATTGTACTGAAATTAACTTGTCTATCTTCATTTGGTTTTCATTTTTAAATGTTTGTAAAAAGAGACTGTTTTTTGGGGTGGGCAATTTCTTTTGTAAAATAAATGAACACACATTGGATACCAAGCATCCTGGCTACTCCTGCCTCTTCCTTCTAATGTTCTACCTTCCTTCCTCCAGCCTGAATCTCCTTCCCCTGAAGTGAGAAGGAATGGAACATCCAAGATGCAAAGAACATTTTATGCCTTCTCATTGCCATAGGCTCTTTGTGCAGAAATGTATGTTGCAATGTGAGCTTACTGCCTTGTTTTGGAGGAACTTGGGCTGAACCATGCTAGCCCGTCCTCGGTCCAAGATCACACCTCTTGAGTGCATTCCCAGATTGGGCAACGTGGTTAGTCTTCTAGAAGACAATCAGTAAATCTACACTTGGAATCAACACACATGTGGAGTGAGCACCTGCACCCTGAAGCCTCATGAAGACCCTCCTGTTGTCTGTGTGGGTTCCTGAGTCTCGGAAGGTCTGGATTCCTGACCGCTGACACCCTCTCTGGTTGCTTCCCCTGCCTAGAGGTCATCCACTGCATGTCTCACTAGGATGTCCAGTGGCTGCACAAGGCCTCAGCACACGCAGTGTGCACAGGCACAGACAGACACTACAAGCTGCAACTGTAAACTAAAGAGTGAGGGACCAGAAACCTGCCATGCAAGTCTGAAAACTCCCCTTGGCAGTTGCACAAGTCCTGGAGAGCTTTGTGGAGCCACAGAATCCTTATGACCTTGGGCCCAATAGGCCCGTCTGAGTTCCAAACCAGCAAACCCCTAGACTTCAATTAGTTCAGCTATCACATGGAGATGGATAAGAAAAATACCTGGTGGTGATGACTAACTAGAGAATTTTGTTAATAAAGCCTTGGGACTGGGAAAATGCTCCACTGAAGAAAACCATGGACAATCATAAGTGGGTTTTACATCTAATGTTTGGAAAAGGAGAAGCTGAAAGAAGATCTAGACTTTTGGTCTTGCTGATTCTTTCTATGGTATCTGGTTTCAGTTTTATTTATTTCTATTCTATTATGAGGAGCTCTGGTGGTGTAGTCTGTACGTATTATACTGCTAACCAGTAGACACTGAGTCTCCAGTGGTTCAAATCCTCTGGCTGCCCCAGGAAGAAGATGGGCAGTCTCCTCTTGTTAAGATTTACAACCTCAGACCCTATGGAGTGTGACAGTGATTCAGAATTGACTCAGTGACAGTAAGTTTGAGTGGAATCATGATTTTCTTTTTTTCTGGAGACTGGTTTGCTTTATACTCTTTTTCTGATTACCAAAGATGATGTGTTAATGTATTGATTTAGATGGTAGGTTTTGTTGGGTTTTTCCCCTTGTGTGCATTTATGGCTATAATTTGACCTCAGAGTACTGCTTTTGTTTTGCCTTAAAGACTTTGATGTGCTGTATTTCGTTTTCGTTTTTTCAAGGGGTTTTGTTTTCTTGTTTGTTTTGTGGGTTTTTTGGTTGTTGTTTTTTTAAAATTTTGTATTACATTCTGTTTCCAAGTAGTTTGTAAGTAGATGTTTAAACTCATCTTTCCCTTTAAGGATCTCTGGTGGTGTACGTTGTAGATTGTTGCTCTCTAATGCAAAAGTTATGCTTCTCTGGTAATTCACATCCACCAATTGTCACCTTGAGAGTGAGAGGTGAGTATTAGCCTTGGGAATCAAAGAGTAACAGGGAAATTTGAGGGACCAGTGAGGGCCAGGCTCTCAGCAGACCTGATTTGGTGCTTTAGCCACTATTACTGGTTGAGGCAAGATACCTAATTTTGGGTGAAATTTCTGTCATTTCGGCAGGTTGGTATTGGGGTGCCCAATCAGGGAAGTTTGACCTAACAATTAATTGAGGGCAGAGTATCCAGCCAAGGACAGAGCACTTCACTGGCACTGGGAAAGGTCTGCACCATTACCAGTCCAGGAGTTATTATTGAGTGTTGCAACACTTGGCCTGGAATGGAGTTTCTCTTGGCCTCAGAGATGTCTAGGGCAGTCCATCTGGTCAGGGACGTTGCCTTTGACAGTCCTGCCAGGCTGGGCAATGAATGCAGCAAGGGCATTCAGTCAGATGTGGTCCATTCTGCTTCCATGAGATGGTAGTAGTTGAGTTTTTTGTCTCTAAATAAGGAAGTGGAATGCACCTGGTGCTAGATCTACAAAGCCTGAACTAGACCCGGTGAGAGGTTCTTTGTGGGTACATGTCCAGCTCAGTTCTCCAGCTGTAGCAGTGGGAGTAGATACACCACATCTCTATGTGGGAACAGTCTGTACCTTATGCTAAACCTACAGGACATCCTGCCAGGAACAGTCATTTCCAACTTAGAAATGGCCAGGAGTTGTGCACTGCATTAGCTCAAGAGTGCAGTAAGAGTACAACACACCCAACATGAGTGCGTTCTGCAGAGGCGCTCAGAGGGAGTTTTGGCCAATCCAGGAGGTGATCCAGATTAGGAAATTTGGCGAGAAGAGGTGCTTCTGTCAATCTAGGAGCTGATTACAGGTGCTGCTGTTCACCCAAGACTGAGGACTCCATCGACACCAGGAGGTAAAGAGAGTTCTCTTTTTGGACTGTGTACCTTGGTGCCAGGTCCACATGGTGGTGCAAGCTTCTTTGCAGGTGGAGCTGGGGTGAGACCAGGGTTCATGTTTAAACCATCTGGTGTGTGGTTGAAGGGGAAGGTCACGCTTCTGACCTAGAGGGGCCTGGGGGTTACAAAGGGAGATGTGAACAAGGTGGGAAATGCATCTTCTTGTCAGCCAAAATCCATCTGTCAGCTGAGGTCTCCGTTTCAGTCCTGGGCTCATGCAGTGCTCAGAAAACTGGTTGGAAAAGTTCAAAACAGATGTTTTCTTATTTGATACTTTCATTCTATTTGTTCCATTTGATGTTGGTCTGTCTTTTTCTTTGATGTTTTTATTGTGTTTCTTCTTCTAGTTGGTAATTTGCCCTACTTCTTTATCATTTTATTTGAAACGCTGGACTTGGTCTTACATTTTCACAAATGTTTATTCCATTTATGTAGTTCTCTTTCATTTCTATAAGTAGAAAGGTGAATCTCCTTATATTTATTCCAAAATATGTTCTTTTGGATGGCTATGGTGGCTATCCCATATTTTCTTTTCAGAGTTCTCTTTGTTACTCTAAGGAAATTGGACTGATTTTGTATGTTGATCTTGTATTGTCACTTTACCACTTACTGAATCTGTGAGCTCCCAGAATTTCTTTTCTATGTCTTTTTTTTTTTTGGGGGGGGAGGATGGATGAATAAATAAATGTATATAAAATTATGTAAATATATAGTTATGTGCCGTTGAGTCACATGGGACTCACAGGGGCCCTGTGTACAACGGCCCTAAACCCTGCTTTATCTTGTTCCAATCTTATTATCTCATGACACACCTACCCTCACTGCCCCCAGTGGGTAATTAATCCATCTCATTGAGGGTCTTCCTCTCTTGCATTGTCCTTCTACCCTCCCAAGCATGATGTCCCTCTCCAGGGACTGGTTCCTCCTGGCAACATGTCCAAAATAATCCAGGTGCTATAGAAAAGAAAAAAAAAGCTTGTACTTACATAGAAAAGAAAATAAATATGGCATTAGTGGTTTTTTTGTTATATTAAATCCAGAATTTAGCAGGTTAAAAAAAAATGTCAGGTGAAGGTTCAGAATCCTTGCCTCCAAGAAGCAGCCTAATTTCACTCTCTCCAGGATGAACCTGTTTGTTCTCCTAGCAGTTCATGATTCAGCAGTGAGTTTTACTGAAGCTCTTAAACAGTTTGTGATACATTTACATGTATATTATATACAATATTTGAAATTATATATTAAAATTATTTGTTTTTATAAGTTTGCAATATTTTATAATAAATTTCTTGTTTACATACAAGCTTATATTAAAATGTTATATGTGTATTCGATCTCTTCTCCAGCGCCACAGCTCAAAGGCATCAATTCTCCATCATCCCTAGTCAGTGTCCAGCTTTCCAACACATAACAAGTAAATGCAAAGACCATCGCCTGGATCAGGCGCACCTCAGTCTCCAGACTGACATTATTGCTCCTCATTACTTTGGAAGGGTCTCTGACAGCAGACTTTGCCAGTGCAACTCATCTTTTAATTTTCTGGCTGCTGGTATCAAGAGTGTTGAATGTGGAGCCAAGCAAACTGAAGCTGTCAACAATCTCAATCTCTTGACGGTCATGATGCTGCCAGGTCATGATGCTGCCAATCAGCCCAGTGGTAAGAATCTTTGCTTTCTTAATGTTGAGCTTCAGTACATACTTAAAGCTGCAGTCCTTGACCTGCAACAAGCACTTCAGGTCCTCCTCAGTTTCAGCAAGCAGATTTGTGTCAACGCATGTTGTTGATGAGTCTTCCTCCAATCCTGATGCAACGCTCCTCCTCATAGAGCCCAGCCTCCCCGATGATCTGTTCTGCATTTAGATTGAAAAGGTATGGCGATAGGACACATCCTTGATGTACACCCTTGCCGATTTTGAACCATGTAGCGTTTCCTTGCTCTGTTCTGACAACTGCCTCCTGGTCCAAATGTTCTGGAATTCCTATTTTTCTCAGAGCCACAATTTGCACAGTTAAATGCCTTTGCATAATTAATGAAACACAGATAGACATTCCTTTGGTCCTCTTCTGCTTTCAGCCAAGATCCATGTAACATTTGCTGTAATGTCCCTAGTACCACAGCCTCTTCTAAACCCAGTCTGCACTTCTGGCAGTTCTCTGTTGATGTGATGTTCCAGCCATTTTTGGACAATTTACAGCTGAATTTTTGTTGCATATGATATTGCTCAATAATTTCCACACTCGGGTCACCTTTTGTTGGAATAGGAATATAGTTCTCTTCTAGTTCGCCAGGAGATTGTCCTCCAGATTTCTTGGCACAACTTAACGCATCCAGGGCAGCTTCTATTTGTTGAAATATATCAATTAAGGAGAAAGTAATTATTGAGCATAAGGAAATAGAGATTTTTTTAAAAAAAGGAATATGAAGAAAATATAACTTTCACTATCTTTAACCATATTTTATTTTACAGGTTTGGCCTTCTGTGATCTA